GAACCATTCAGTCAAAGGTTCTTTAAAGAACCATCTCTTTCTTCCTTTTTATAATTTGAAGAACCTTCTTTCGCCACAAAGAACGTTTTGTGAAACAGAAAGGTTCTTCAGATGTTAAAGGTTCTTTATGGAACCATTTAGACAAAAAGGTTCTTCTATGGCATCGTGAAGCACCTTTATTTTTAAGAGTGTAAGGACCATTGAGCAGCAGCACTTTCATAACCAAAAGAGGACGTTTTAGGAATGTCCCTAATGTTCTGTAAAGGTTCGCGACTTTCCTCACCTTTAGAGAACTTTTGGGGAACGTTGCGCAAGGTTGCAAGAATGTCCCCTCCTACCTGGGTTATCACATATAGAAACAGTTGCAATTAGCTTGATAACGTTGATGTACCAGTAATAAATTGTAAGTGTATTTTCTTAATTTGTTTCAATACTGAAAGCAGAACTGATATCGTCAGAGCTCATCAATACTAGAGTGTTTTGTAATTTAGCCCCAGGGCTCCTTTAATACCGGGTTCAGGAATTCATTCAAGAGAAGCACAGAATGATCAGTTACAAAGCTGACAGTATATCATGCATCTGCATTTTCTAAACATATCATAGAAGAATAACTAGTTTTAAAAATATCAATGAAGAACACTATTAAAATTAAATCTCAGTCTCTCTTAAAAGTGTTACAGCCTCTTCTTCAGCTTCCTGAACAAGAACAGTTTGTAAAAAAGCTTCTACTTTCCTTCATGAAAAAGTAAGCAAACTACAAGTGATACTTATGAATTATAGACAATTGAACATAATTTGAAAGTCATAAGAAAGCACTGGGATTCCATTTATATCACAAAGCAAAATGATATTCAAGAATAAAACTTTTTGACATTGTTCTTTGGGGAGGAACTCCATCTTTGAGTTGATCTGAATCTCTCAGTTGAATCTGCTGGTTTTGAAGATGAAGATGAACTTTATTCACTGTGAAAACTTTAGATAATGTTTCTTTGTCATGTCACTTGTAATGTCTGGTTAGGACAGATTTATCCAGATGATATTTTATTGTTTGATGCATTTTTGTGTAACATTTGAGGACGCAGTGTCAGACCTGAAAGTGCTGGATCTGAAGATGATCTACTTACTGTGAATGTTTTTTGTATGCTTGTGTAGAGAAGATGACTGATTGAAACACTTCCCACATGCAGTGCAGTGATACGGTTTCTCTCCAGTGTGAATCCTCTCGTGTGTTTTCAGATTTGCTGAATGAACAAATCTCTTGTCACAGTGTGAACACTTATAAGGTTTGTCTCTGCTGTGGATCCTCTCATGTGTTTTCAGATTTGATGAATGAACAAATCTCTTGTCACAGTGTGAACACTTATAAGGTTTGTCTCTGCTGTGGATCCTCTCATGTGTTTTCAGATTTGCTGACTGAATGAATCTCTTGTCACAGTGTGAACACTTGTATGGTTTCTCTCCAGTGTGGGTTCTCTCATGTGCTTTCAGATTTGATGACACACTGAATCTCTTGTCACAGTGTGAACACTTGTATGGTTTCTCTCCAGTGTGGGTTCTCTCATGTGCTTTCAGATTTGATGACACACTGAATCTCTTGTCACAGTGTGAACACTTATAAAGTTTTTCTCCAGTGTGAATCTTCTGGTGCTGTTTTAAATTTTCAGCTGAAGTAAAAGTCTTTTCACACTCAAAGCACATGTACTCTCTCACACCAGTATGTATTTTCTGATGTTCTTTTAAATATTGTAGACGTGAAAAACTCTTTCCACACAAATAACATGAATGTGGCTTCTCCTTTGTATGAACTGTCAGGTGTTTCTTCAGGTCTGAAGTTCTCAAAAATGTTTTGCTGCATTGATCACATGCGTACAGTTTCTCTCTAGTGTGGATGTTCATGTGATCCTTAAGGCTTGATGATTGTGTGAAACTCTTCCCGCACTGATCACACATGTACGGTTTCTCTCCAGTGTGGATCCTCTCATGTGTTTTCAGATGTCCTGAATTAATTAATCTCTTGTCACAGTGTGAACACTTGTATGGTTTATCTCCAGTGTGAACTGTCATGTGAACATCAAATTTATATTTGCTTGAGAAACTGTTTCCACACTGAGTGCAGGTGAAAGATTTCTCGGCTCTTCTTTTCTTTAAATCTTTCTGTTTGGTTTGAGAGCAACTCAAAGGTTTTTCTCCAGTTCCGAGATACATTTTCTCAACTTCACTCAATTCCTCATTATCCTTGTTTTCTTCAGTCAACTCTGAAATAAAAGTAAAAACGGTTAATTTTCTGTAACTCAGTAACCCTGATGAACCCTGATGTAACAGTGTAAAGTAGAAGAGCCAATTGCTATACAAAATATTAGTCATTTTGATCAATTTTTATTAAGCCTGTCAAAAATAAATTCATAGACTCACCACAGCGATAGCTAAATGGGTGGTGACAGCATGTAGGCCAGTTAATGTAGTGGAGGACGAGGGTCTACTTGAAATTATTCGCATCGCATCTAACAATTATACATATGAACTACCTTCGAGAGCCACCATTACAAGCAAGGTTCACAACTCCTATGTAGAGGATAAAGCTAAGACAGACAAACACGGTTGCGCTAACGGGAGACTACTGGACTTCTCTCAGTAACGATAGCTTTAGTCACAGCACATTATTTTGACACACACTGGAATCTTTGGTCACACGCTTTGACTGTTATGAAGACAGACGAGAGGCACTATGCTGAT